ACTGCAAGTACCAGGCGTGGTTGTTTCTGTTTCTCTTGTTTCTTGGTTTGTGTTCTTTGTTGGCTGGTATCCCCCTGGACTCTCCGCCATCTTGTGCGTCTGCCACAATAAGAATCCTTTCGAGGCGGATTACATGATGATTCCTTTTGTGGAGGCTCACAAAAGGATCCTCAGGTTGCGGATTAAAGAGGCAGATAGAGAACGAGAGAGAGAGAGAGAAACAACCAACAATAAAAGGGGGAACGAGGCCGAGAGAGAGAGAGACGGTCCGCCAGCCACAAGAAATCGATAAGCAAACTGAGAGCCCCAGGCTCCTAACTTTTCTTAAAACAAGTATCTGCACTTGGCTGTTTGTTTTATTGCGTTGGGCTGGTACCCATCTGGGCGTCCGGCCATCCTATGCGTCTGCCACAACATGAATTTTTTGGAGGTGGAATAAAGCAAGTACTCTCTCTCTGGAGGCTTACAAAGCGGATTACCTTCTGTGGCGGGTAGGAGGGACAGAGAGAGCAGGGAAAGAGAGAGAGAGAGAGAGCGAGAGATAGAGAGAGAGAGCGAGAAACAAGAAAACGAGAAAGAGGACGCGAGCGAGCAAGAGAGAAAGCCACCGAGTAGTCCCGCATTCCCCTCCCACCACCCCCTTGGGATGCCAAAACAAGCGCCTCGCTCGGGACACCCCCACCATGTCCCAGCCACGAAACGACCAAAACGCCCGAGACATTTCCACAATCTGGCCGCAAACAGGCGAGCGCACTACTCGGATGCCAACAGGAGCGCGTCTCTTGGGGCATCCCCACCATCTGCTCTGAAAGCAAAGGACCCCCAACAACGAGACGAGAACACAGCCTGAGACATCCCCACAATCTGGCCGCGACGGGCGAGTGGAACACCCAATGAAGGTCCCCCCCCCCAGGGTGCTAAACCAAGCGCCTCGCTCGGGACACCCTCACGGTCTTCTCCGGAAGCAACGGAGACCCGACCACGAAACTAGCCAACCGCCTGAGACATCCCCACACGCTGGCCACGAGCGGGCGAATGTGATACCCCTTGGCGGTCCCCCTTGTGGTGCTAAACCAAGCGCCTCGCACGGGACATCCTCACGACCTGAAAATAAAAGCAAAAGAAGCCTGAGCCATGACGCAAACAACCCCACCACGGAACGAGCAAACCGCCTGAGCCATTCCCACAAGCTGGCAGCGAACGGGCGAGTATTATACCCCCTCGCGCCCCCCTGTGGGATGCTAATACAAGCGCATCGCTCGGGACATCCTCACCATCTGCTCTGAAAGGAAAAGAGTCGCCGCCACGAAACGAACGAACCGCCTGAGAGAGCCTGAGTGTGAGTGTGAAAGGGTTTGAATATAAGTGTTCCGAGTGAGAGCTGAGTGTTCTGACTGTTAGTGAGTGAGAGTCCGAGTGAGTCGGAGTGTGAGTGAGTCTGGTTTGGGTGATTGTCATGAGGGCGGGAATGAGCATGAGTGACCTCAGTGTGATGAAAGGGAGGGAGGGGGCGGGAGTGAGGAGGCGGAGGCGTCCCAGTAATGACAAGAACCCCGTACCTGGGAAATGGGGAGCAACAACGACGACCCCGTCCAAAGGCACATCAAAGGCACCCCTTTGTATTCGTAATGGCGTAACCCCCCCCTCCCCTCCCGTCCTTGGATCGATGGCCTCCAAGATATCCCCAAGAGGTCCCCAAAGCCCACACCCACCCCCCCACACCCCCCAAGAGGGCATCAAGAGAGCCCCGAGGGTGTCCAAAGTCCCGAGAAAAAAAGGCCGAAGGGGGTCCGAAACAATCCAAAATGGCCACATAAGGGCCCCACAATGTCCCCAAGAAGCCCCAGGAGCGTAAGACCCGCAAAGGCCTTGATTGTTAGCTCCCCTCGTCGTCGTCGCCGTCGTCGTCGCCGTCGCCGTCGTGGTCGTCGTCGTGGTCGTCGGCCCCTTCTTCCTCCCCCATCATCTTGTTACTCCTTTTCCTCCTCCTCCGCTTGCTGCTCCTCCGCATCCCAACTCCTCATCATTTTCTCTCTCCTCCTCCTCCTCCTCCTCCTCCTCATCTTCCTGCTCCTCCTTCTCGTCCTCCGGTATTTTCAGATCCTTCATCACTTTACAAGATGGAAAGGCTGCGCCCCTACTGTTCCACTGCACACTGCTACAATTCGCAGATCAGAAAAACTCGCCTAGTGGTTGTTTTTGGAAGTGCTGGTGGGGATGCGCGAAGCGTCCAGAATTCAACATCCAGCCAGGCACATCACACTAAGACGACGCCAGCCCAACATGGCTGGACCGAGACGGCTCGGGCTCGGGCCAAGATGGCCTGAGCAGCAAAGCCTTGACCACAAAAAGGATTGGGGTCAAAATGGCCACGAGCGCCAATCCCTGGACCCTTCCAAAAGCGCATCCCTGACAATTTGCCAACCACTGTCCGATACATACATATATATATATATATATATATATATGTATACGCGGCTTTTTGGGGGGTCGGCGCGGACACCCCACCCCCCTCCTCCGAGGGCACGCGGACCGCGCTGGGGGCGGCGCCAGACTGGCCATCCGGATGAGTCCCGCGTTGCCAAAACGAACTACGCACGGACCTCCGAAAATATGTGTAGATCACAACCGAGAAAAAACCTCAATCAGTGGATAGTTTGAAACATTTGGCAGGTGCACTGTCTGGCCGCAGTTTCGCCGTAGGGCCCGAACAGGCAATCGAGCTGTCGAGCTCGATCGTGGGATCCCGAGATAGGCCTAGAACCAGCAACCGGGAACCCAGGAAACCCGAACCGAGAACCCGCGAACCCAGCAGGCTACCGAAATCGGCCCGGAACTTTCGCCAAATCTTTCAACGTCCGCTGGGAGCCCGACAGTGCAAGCACTGGTTGGGAGTGTACGCAATTTCTTGTGTTTATACAGGCTCGAGAGACGTTTCTCCGAACGCCAGTCCACGGGTCAACGCCCGCTCGCAGCCGGTCGCTGGTAAGGGCGACGCCTACACCACATAGCTTGCACCACGTTCACTCCAAGGCCAACTTGCGTGGAAAAGTATGGACCCAATTGGATCCCAGACTTGTGTGAGAGTCACGTGGATCCTCGCCCGGATCAATTGTTGGACGTGGAAGCCTCGTGGACCCTATTCTTTGGCTGGAATTGGATCCTCGGACTTCCAGGCCAATGCTATGATTAGACGGGGGAGGGAGGCTTGGGTGCAACAGCGTGGTTGGGATGCAACAGCATGCATATGTGTTCCGGTTGCTGTTCCAGCTTCGGTGTGGCATTCGGAGAAGTATTCCCCAGCCTGTAGTCCCGCCGCTGCGCCGAGGACCTTCCAGAGCTGGCATGGAGAAGACAGGTCCAGGATCCTCATGGATCAGGGCTTCGCCACTGCAGCGCCTATGCATCGGCGATGCAGCGCGATCCTCCAAACCCACCTACGGTGAGGACCTTTTGCTCAGTGTCTCGCGGCGGCGGCCCCTGCGTCACGCTACGCCTTGGAAGCTAACCCCAAGGGGTCTTTTACAATTGTCCTGGCGAAGGACCCAACCAGATTCAGTTGTGAGTACCATCGTTGCGGGTATCGCCTTCGGGGGATCTCCTCGTGGGGCCATGAAGCATGCGAAGGGTGTGCCGATGTGGGGCGGGGCCGCCATGTGGGCGCTGCCGCTGGTGCTATAGGCGGAACGCACTACGGGGCCGCGACAAGTGTGAAGGGTGCGCCGCAGTGGCGCGGGGCCGCCACTGGGGCCTTCGGTGGAGCACCGCATGGGGCAACGAAACAATGTAATGGGTGGAGAAAAACGCATGCGACTACAGCCACCAGGGCCCTCAGCACAGCTTCCCATGAGGCTACGAAACGCTGTGCTGGGGGAACGCATGCGAACACCGCCACTGGGGCTTCGGTGGAGCTCCCGGTGGGGCCACGAAACGCCACGATGATGACGATGATGATGATGATGAGGATGTGGATGAGGATGATGCTGCAGATGATGATGCTGATGGATGACGGGCGATGGTGATGATGGTGACGATGATGCTGATGATGGGGAGAGGGAGGCCGAGCAGCGGGAGGAAGGAACGCGGGGCGCTGCCTCTTCAAAACGAGGACCAAACACCACAGGATGGTTGGGAAAAAATCAGCCGACCTTCCAGCGTGTGAGACACGTTTCCGTTTAAGTCGTCGTCGTCGTCGTCGTCGTCGTCGCCGTCGTCGTCGTCATTGTCGTCGTCGCCAGTCCCAACGAAATTTGAAGACAGGGAAAAAAGCTGTTAAGTCGTTAAGTCGATTCCATTCCCTTTATCCCTGTCCTGTTGGGGTGTGAGGGGGTGGTGGGGGGGTGGTGGTGGGGGTCCCGGGTCAGCATACCGGCCCCCCCCTGGCTCCCAGTGGGTCACCGGGGGCGTCGTAAGCGGGGGTCCTGGGGGAGGTCCCGCCTTCAGGGTCGGCAGCACTGGTCGTAAGGCCTTCGCAGTGTAGAGGAGGAGAAGGAGGGAAGGAAGGAAAGGAGGAGGAAGGGGAGAAGGAAAAGGAGGAGGAAAAAGAAAGAACAAAAAGAGCAGCGGAGGCACTGAAGAGGACGAGGAGGATAGGAGGGAAAGGAGGGAAAGGAGGGAGGAATAATAATGAGGAGGAGGAGGAGGAGGGACAATGAAGATGGTGGTGGTGATGATGAGAAGAGGGAGTACGACTCAGGAGGAGTAAGAGGAGGAGAGGAGGAGGGAAGGGAGAGGAGGAGGAAGGGAGAGGGGAAGAAAAGGAAAGGGAGAGGGAAGGGAGGTGATGAGGAGAATGGAGGGGGGGGAGGAGGCGGGGAGGACGAGGAGGTGGAGAGAAAAGAGGGGGGGAGTCAAAGGGGGGAAGGAAGGGGAAGGAGAGAAGAAGGGGCAGGCGAGAGCGAGGGGAGTGAGCAAGCAAGCGGAGGCTGGACGACGCCAGACGAGGCCCCAAGGGTGACATCCGCAGCGAAGCTTCGGGCCGCCCGTGACGACGGAGGCGCCTCCTGGTCCTCCCCGAAGCGGGCCAGCCTGGCAGCCCATTCTTGTGCCTCGGCGGGCCGTTCCTCCTCCTCCTTCTCGCTCCTCCTCTCGTCCTCCTCCTCCTCCTCCTCCACCTCCTCCTCCTCCGCCTCCTCCTCCTCCCCCTCCTCCTCCTCCTCCTCCTCCTCCCCTCCTCCTCCTCCTCCTCTCTCTTCCTCATCCTCATCCTCCTCCTCATCCATCCCGCTCCTCCTCTCGCTCCTCCTCCTCCTCCTCCTCCCTCTTCCTCCTCCTCTTCCTCCTCCTCTTCCTCCTCCTCCTCCTCCCCCCTCCTCCCCTCCCCCTCCTCCTCAATTTCCTCCTCCTCCTCAATTCCTCCTCCTCCTCCTCCTCCTCCTCCTCCTCCTCCTCCTCCCCTCCATCCTCGCTCCTCCTCCTCCTCTCCTCCTCCTCCTCCTCCTATTCCTCCTCCTCTTCTTCCTCCTCCTCCTCCTCCTCCCTGCCTCCTCTCCCTCCTGCACGATCCTCCTCCTCCTCCTCCTCCTCCTCCTCCTCCTCCTCCTCGTTCTCCTCCTCCTCCTCCTCCTCCTCCTCCTCCTCCTGCTTCTTGTCATCCCTTATCCTCCCTCTTCCTCCTCATCCTCATCACCGCCACCCACCACCACTATCATCACAGCCTCAATCACTAACACCGCCACAATCACCTCCTCCTCCTCCTTCTCCTCCTGCTCCTCCTCGTTCTCTTCCTCCTCCTCCTCCACGATCGCATTCCTCCTCCTCCTCCTCCTCCTCCTCCTCGGCCGTCTCCTTTTCCTCCACCTCATGTTCTTCCTCGTTATCCTCCTCCTCCTCCTCCTCCTCGTCCTCCGCGTCCTCCTCGTCCTCCAACTCCTCCTCCTCCTCTTCCTCCAACTCCTCCTCCTCCTCCTCCTCTTCCTCCTCCTCCTGCTCATTGTCTTCCTCTTCCTCCTCGTCCTCATCCTCCTCATCCCCCTCCTCCCTTCTTTTTACCCCCACATCCAAAATGAGGGTCTTGTTTTCTCTGCTAACCCCCCGCGCAGGAACCTCACACCTCACCCCCTGTTGCCTTTTCCCGTCGCACACTCATTCGCTCAATCAGTCACACACACACACATCATCATCACTCACACTCACTCACTCACCCAGTCACCAACCCACTCGCACAAACATTCAATCATTAACCCTCATTCACTCACCCACTCAAACACTCACACACAGTCAGCATCATCAGAATCACTCACTCAGTCGCCCACTCACTCACTCACCTACCTACCCACCCAAGCGGGAACCTCGTCTGTGAGTGAATTGCGGGGAAATCTCGGGCGGGAGCCCCCTCCCTATGGGGACCGCACCTCATGTTGGTAATCCGAGCGGGTCATCGGCCTCCGGCAATTGTCGTCATTATTGGGTTCTTCCGGCCTGGATTTGGAGGAAGTCTCCAGCGGGAACCTCATCAGTGAGTGAATTGCGAGGAAGTCGAAGGCAGGAGCCCCTTCCCTATTGGGGCCCGCACTTCACGTTGGCAATGCGAGCGGGTCATCGGCCTCCTGCAACTGTCGTCAGTCTTGAGTTCCTCAGGCCTGATGTTTGAGGACATATCAGGCGGGAGCCTCCTTTGTAAGTGAATTGCGAGAAAGGCGGGAGCCCCCTCCCTATTGGGAAACGCACTTCATGTTGGTAACCCGAGTGGATCATCGGCCTCCGGCAACCGTCGTCATTATTGGGTTCCTCGGCCCTGAATTTGGAGCAAATCTCAGGCGAAAACCCCGTCCGTGAGAGAATTGCGAGGACGTCACAGGCGGGAGCCCCCTCCCTATGGGGACCGCACCTCACGTTGGCAATCCGAGCGGGTCATCGGCCTCCTGCAACTGTCGTCACTTTTGGATTCCTCAGGCCTAATTTTCGAGGAAGCCTCCGGCGGGAGCCTCGTTCGTGAGTGAATTGCGAGGAAGGCGGGATCCACCTCCCTAAGGTGCCCGCGCTTCATGTTGGTAGCCCGGGCGGGTCATCGGCCTCCGGCAACAGTCGTCATTATTGGGTTCCTCAGGTTTGAATTTGGAGGAAGTCTCCAGCGGGAACCTCATCAGTGAGTGAATTGCGAAAACGTATCAGGCAGGAGCCCCCTCCGTACGGGGCCCGCGCCACATGTTGGTAACCCGAACTGGTCATCGGCCTCCTGCAACTGTCGTCTGTTTGGGGTTCCTCAGACCTGAATTTGAAGCCAGTCTAAAGCGGGAGCAGGAGCCTGCACTCCACGTTGGTAGTCCGAACGGGTCATCGGTTTTCTGCAAGTGCCGTAATTGTTGGGCTCCTCAGGCCTGAATTGAAGGAAATCTCAAGCTGGAGTCCCGTCCGTGAGTGACTTGCAACGAAGTCTCAGGCGGGACCCCCTCCCTATGAGCCCGCTGCTCATATGAATAATCCGAGCGGGCCATCGGCCTCCTGCATGATTCATCATTTTTGGGATTCTGAAGCCTGAAAGTGGAAAAAAATATGAAACGGGAGCCTCGTCGATGAGCGGATCGCGATGAAATTTCAAGCGGCAACCCCTTTGGGGTTCGCAGCTCATATGAATAATCCGAGCAGGTCATCGGAAACCTATAGCTGTCGTCACTTTGGGCTTCCTGAGGCCGTGGAAAATATATCAGGCGGGAGCCTCGTCTGTGAATGACTCGCGAGGAAGTCTCAAGAGGGAACCCACTCCCTATGGGGCCTGCACGTCATGTTCGAATCCGAGGCGGGTCATCGGCCTCGTGTAACCATCGTCACTTGTGGGCTCCTGAGGCCTGACTATGGAGGATAAGGCGGTAGCCTCGTCTGTGAGTGAATTGCAAGGAAATCTCAAGCGTGAGCCCCTCCCCAAGGAGCCCGCACCTCACGTGCTTTCTCTGGGTCGTCTTCTGGCGCGCGCTTCCTCTGGGTCGTCCTCCAGCGCGTAGCCGCTGGGACGCACGTCGTGCGTTTCCTCCAAGTCGTGTTGCGCACGCGGAAGAGGAGGAGGACGGCGAGGAGGAGGAGGAGGATGCAGGACGAGAAAGACAAGGAGGAAGAGGAGGAGGAGGGGGAACAGGACGATGAGAAGGAGGAGGAGGAGGAGGAGAAGGAATGCCCTAGGAGGCCCCAGGAGGTCCCTGGAGGCCCAGAAGGCTCCAGGAGGCCCCATGAGGATCCAGGAGGCCCCAGGAGTAGGCAGGAGGCCTAAGAAGTAGGCGGGAGGAGGAGGAGGAGGAGGAGGAGGAGGAGGAGGAAGAGAAGGAGGGGGAGGAGGAGGAGGGGGAGGAAGATGGAGACGAGGAGGAGGCGGAGGAGGGAGAGGGAGAGGAGGAGGAGGGAGAGGAGGAGGAGGAGGAGGAGGAGGAGGAGGAAGAAGAGGAGGAAGGAGGACGAGGAGGAGGGAGAGAGAGAGAGAGAGAGGAAAAGGAGGAGGAGGAAAAGGAGGAGGAGGATGTGGTGGAGGAGGCAAGACCATGAGGAGGCAGGGGTTGAGGCAGGAGGAGGAGCAGGCAGGAGGAGGAGGCAGGAGTAGGTGGAAGAAGGGAGTAGGCAGGAGATCCCCAGGCAAGTTGAATGTATCATCATGCGGGGTCCGGGGTCCTACCGTCGGAGCAGATATTAGCATTATGACTATTATTACTAGTAATAGAATGCTGAATCGTATTATTAATATGCTTATTTCCCAGTATAGTTGTCAATACTAGTTCTAATCGTAGTACTAGTATTCTGAGTATTGTGCTCATTGCTTATAGTACTGCTTCTATTAGTAGTTTGACTACTCTTACATCCGTACGATGATTAGTAGCATGAGTAGCCATATTAATATTATCATGTGTTATCTGCTTTGACTGTCTCTTCCTCCTCCTCCTCCCTCCTCCTCCCTACTCATCCTCCCTCCTCCCTCCTACTCCCTACTCACCCTCCTCTTCCTCCTCCTCCTCTTCCTCAATTTTCCTCCTCCTCCTCATCATCCGATTTGGGGACGACCTGCTGCGCGACAGCGCCAGTTTGGGACACCCCTTGTGTGCCCAGCACGCCTGGCGGATTCCCTCCCTGGGAGCACGGTCGGGCGCCTGAATCGTTCGTGCGCCAGGGGTCAGGATGACGTGAGCTCCCCAGGAATCCACTCAAACTAACAAATCATTCCTCCGCCCCTTCCTGCTCCTCCTCCTCCTCCTCCTTCTCCTCCTTGTCCTCCTCCTCCTCCTCCTCCTCCTCCTCCTCCTCCTCCTCATCCTCCTCTTTATCCTCCTCCTCCTCCTCCTCCTCCTGCTCCTCGTCATCCCTTATCCTGCCTCCTGCTCCTGATCCTCATCACCGCCACCCACCACCACTATCATCACAGCCTCAATCACTAACACCGCCACCATCACCACTTGGACGATTGTCAGCGGCAGCAGCATCAAAATCCGAGTCATCACATTTATTATCGCGAACACAAACAACATCATCACCATCATAATCAAAACCTCCACCACCAGTGCATCATCATCGTCATCATCGTCCCCAGCACCATCATCATCTTCAGCAGCATCATCACCTTCATCAGCATCATCATCAACATCAGCATCATCATCATCAGCATCACCATCGTCATCATTATCAGTATCAGCATCATTACAATCATCATGACCATCATCATCATCAGCATCATCATCGTCATCATCATCAGCGTCATCAGTATCTGCATCATCATGATCAGCATCATCAGCGGCAGCATCATCACCACCATCATCATTATCATCCTCAGCAGCATCATCATCATCAGTAGCAGCATGATCAGCATTATCATCATCACCACCATCATCATCAGAGCATCGTCATCATTATCATTACCACCACCATCATCATCATCAGCCTCATCATCATCAGCTCCATCATAATCATCAGCCTCACCATCATCATCATCAGCAGCATCGCCCTCATCGTCATCAGAATCATCATCAGTATCATCATCATCAGCATCATCACCATCATCATCATGAACATCATCAGTATCGTCATCGCCATCGCCATCGTCATCGTTATCGTCGTCATCATCATCCGCAGCATC